CCAATGATTAGGATCCTTGTATTTGTTAAGATTCATCAAATCGAAGCCGGCTGGCACAGTAATGACTCTCTTCTTGTTACTCTCAATCAGTTTCACTGGTGGCATCGGAGGCATATCATCGAAGGGCGAGACATATGGCTCTTCCTTTTGAGCAAAAATCGGCGAGCCATTCGATTCATCAGCGCTTGACTGTAATTCCTAATATTCATATATTTGCCCTATGTTTATATATACACTGACTTACATTTGTCTTGGCTATGTTTTGCTTCTCTTCGCGTGTTGGCTCATCAAATAGCTTTGGTTCCTCGGCAGTGGCAAATGCTTCATACATATTTGAGCTCCCTTCCTCATCGCTACGCGTCCGATTGTCAAACCGGGTAGGGTTGGCGTTGTGAAAATATGTATCCATGGCAGTGGCAAAGTCTTGTATTGGTGAGCGTTTCTGCTGAGAACCAATCCACATTTCGGTGAAGGCATACTTCTGCATGGCATCGCGCTTCAAAGTTGTTGGCTTTTGAGCCACAAGACTCATATCAAATAAATCATCAGATAGCTCTTGTAAGTTATTTGTGACCGAGTCATTCTTCATTGGCGAATGTCGTGGAGCTTGGGTGAAAAATTTGTTGACCAAAGGGTTGGATGAAGACTTATCCAATTTCTTTTCAGCTTTGCTAAGAACCAGCTGATCTTTGTACGCTTTAAGTTCCACGGTAGCAGTTTCGTCATGGTGTATCTCAGAGTCAGGGCTGGAAGATTTAGATGGTTTCTCTATCATGACATCATCGGTCTTTGCTTCCAATTTAATAGGCTCTGGCTCAACTTTTTCTGCCACATCCTTGCAGTAATTTTCCTTAATTTAAAAAAATATAAATGTGTAATTTAGAATTAATTTTAAGTTAACTAAATAATATATTTGTTGATATGAATGTGTATATGTACTTACACCCTCGTCTTCCTCCACTTCGTTTGTGATGTCCATGTCGAACTCGTAGCCGTCATCATGTAGTGAATTACATGAGCCTTCCGGGCTTAAGCTTTGAACAAAGGAGTGAAAGGAATCGTTGTCGTCGTCACGAGTATCATCGCATTCGATTTCTGGAGACTCCATTTTAAGTAATAGTAATACGCAATTGGCGTACAATATCGCAAATACCTCGCGCTCTTTTTCGTATTTTAATTCGTAGTGATGGCAAAAGCCTGCAACAAGCAATTGCAATCGATGTTCGTTATCGATGGGGGGACAGGAGAAGAATGCATTCACAATGGATCAACCATCGTTTTATCTGGCAGTGCCCTCCAAATTTTAATCAAAGGTGGTAGGAGTAAGTGTGCCGCGTGTGTGTGTGTGTTTTTCAAAAGTATCTGATCCTACCAGCTTTGATCGCACAATTTTGCACTCAATAGAGTTGTAAAAACAATACAATGAACAGGTCGAATTTTGGCCAACCGCCATTGTGTTTGTTGTTGCTTTTGCCTTTTAATTGCTTCAACTGTATTTCGACATACCAGTGCATTTATACACACATGCATACAAACGAGTACATATTAGAGTTGGGCACGGGCCGTGTTTTTTGTCGTGGCACTTCGTGCCACGCGTGGGCCCGCGTGTTCGTGTTGTAAATTCCGATTTCGTGCGTGGCCGTGCGTGTTCGTGTTGAGCCAAAAAGGCACGACAAAACACGCACGAGGAAACACGAAAGAACACTAAAATCAGAAAACGAAGCACCCAATAGTCAACACGACTTTTCTGAATTTTTGGACACTAATAATTCAAAAAAAAATTAAATTGGACAGGTCAAGAATGGATATTGAAATAGATGACTATATAAGTAGTGTAGTTGATCCAAGAATTTGTGTGCTAACATTCTGGAAAAAAACAACAAAATGTAAAATGCTACGGCAATTATCAAGGCATATACTCAATATCCCTGTCAGCTCTGCAACAAGCGAACGAGTTTTTTCCACTTCTGGACATATTTTAAATGAGCGACGTACTCGGCATCTTAGCTCAAATATTGATAAGATAATCTTTCTGAATAAAAATGTGTAATGTTTATATATATATATATATTTTTTTTTTAATTTTTATATTTAATATATAAAAAGTTCGTGTTGGGCCGTGTTAAGAAAAATTTTCGTCGTGCGTGCGCGTGCGTGTTTCTAAAAGTTAATTTCGTGGCCGTGTCGTGTCGGGCCGAAAATAGCCGGCCCGTGCCCATCTCTAGTACATATACATACATGTATGTGTGTATGTATGCAGGAATTAGCAACATGGTAAGTACTGTTACCATCCTCCATTATTTGCATTCTGCGTGTGTGGGTGATTTTCATTATCCTGTAATTGTTTGTGCCATTGTTCACACGATACGTTTGAAAAATTACACGCTTTGTTAATTGTCCAGTCCCATAGTCGTCCCTCACAACCCATATGAGCCCATTTGCATAAACTGCTTCCACCGTGCTTAGTGGTGTTCTAGTGCTCTAGTTTAAAACCCTGGACTTCGGCAACTCCGCCTTAAACCACACAAATACATACAGACAGACAAAACGCGTATAGAAATATACGATGTATAGTGTCTTGGTCAGACGGTCGGTTGCATTTTATGGCTTGGCACCGGCGACACGAGATGCATTGTTCCGGCTACCCTGTTCTTTGAGTTGTGCCACGCTTTGTTGCATTCTGCATAGTTTGTGCTGTACGGTATACATATTTGCATGTGAAACACAATAAAAACTCAAGTACCAGCGCTTTGTTCACTTGTCTATCATTGTCCGAGTCTCTGTTTGCTTAACGCCAGGCAGCTACACACATACATATGTACATAGGACTACACATGTACATATCAAAGTTGGCCTGCTACGAACTCACTCCGACGGATTTATGTTTCCTGCGCAGCATTTGCTGCTCCTAAATCCTTTGAATGAATCAAAACGCGGAAATTTCGGACGCGACTCTTTCACCGACCGCAGCTGTTCAGCCAGTCGCCCGGACAGTTTTGGGCTTGGCTTAGGCGTGCTGCACGCGCCGTCATGTCGTCGTCACACTAATTACCTATTTTACCTATTTGGCCTGCTAGAGCTGATCACGATTTCTGTGGTTTTTGGCCAATGCCAAATAATACCCATACGTACGTACGTCAAGTGCATATGGCGTTCGCGAATACTTGAATCTTTGCTCTTCAACCGTGCCCACGTCGTCACATTGAACTATGGACAAAAATAGATCTAAAATTGAGCAAAAATTCAGTTATACGAGTTGGTGGTCGTCTCTACATTATTATACTTTGCATTCCAAATGTGTGTCCTACACAGACTTAACCATAAATTGTTATAAATTATTATTGTATTACAGTCGAGATTGATGAGTTTTGAAGATAAGAAATTATAAAATATTTGCCAAGTTTTTATTTATATCAAGAATATCCCAAAGCATAATTTAAATTAAAGGAATGTCATTAGCTGTGAAATGATATTAGAATAACTTTCAATTTCTTACCAGATCTTACAATATTCAAACACAAGTTTAAACTTTAAGTTCATGATCATGTCCTAGGGTTGTTTTGAAGCTATTGTTCTTAGTTTTCAGGCATTAGGTTAATCATTTAGGGAGAGTAGAGTTAGCCAAGAAAAATATACTATTTATAATGTTTTAGTAACAACGAATAGCAACAAAAATTGTACAATACTTTTAATCGGAAAGTTATGTCGTTCGGGTATCCAGATGATTTTGTCTGAGGATAGACACATCGTATTTGGTATCAAAAATTCTTAAGTAAGTTATTAAAAACACAAATACTAGAGTTGTGTAAGTTTATTAATTGTATTTATTACGACATTTTGCGTGCATACTTTAAAATGTGAAGTTAGTTTAGTGGATTGGCAGCCACGCGTGCAACGTCTTATAACTCATTAGCACTTCCTATGGCGACGCCCACATCTATTCGACTACACTCAGTGGTACACAAAGTTACTAATTAACTTTCGTTTAAGAAATTACTACATACATTTAGGGGTCGCCCTCCAAAAATTGTAGTTGTTTACACAATAGACAAAAAATGTTGCACGACAAAGTGTATCTAATTTCATGGTGCCTCCATACAAAGAGTACGAGTAAATGGCTGTCGCGGCTTTGAGCGTAAAAACCAACAGCGAGATGCATTAATTAGACACATGGAATGAGTGGAAGGGAGCGAAGGGAGCGAAGGGAAAGGGGAGCGTACGGTGTCTGAACCTGCACCATCTGCCAAGGCAATTGTCAGCCGCAGCATTTAATGAGGCATTCGATGCACTTACTTGCAACAACCTTGCGCCTGTCAACACACACATAGTCGACATCTGTCACCCGTTTGGTGAGCTATAAAACCGCAGATCCCTAGCGACCAGAGACTATAGCAACAAGAACAACAACAACGAGAACGTTGGCAACAATTTCAAATCGATTTGCTGTTAAATTGAAATGGTTGTTTGTTTTTGCTGCTGTAGCTGCGGTCGACGTCGTCGTCGTCGTCATCGTCATCGTCCAGACGTGGGAGGTGACGCATGTCATCGTAAACTTCATCATTGGCTGCATTCTAAAAGATTTACCCAAAAAAACAAAGAGGGAAAGAAGCCACGTTGCAACTTACATAACAAATTGTGTTCTGCTGCTGCTGCTGCTGCTGTTCCTCGTTTTTAGTCGCTGCCCATTTCATAAATATTATCTTTTCCTCTGCCCTCTATGACTCTCTGGGGTGCGTGCAACTGTTGCAAGGCGTAGTCGCAGGGCTGCAACCGAATTTCATGCCTTGTCGAGCTATTTAATTGCAAACAAATTATGTAGACGACGACTGCGTCTCTGGCCACTCGCCATGATGAGTTCTTGTGTGGCTAATGGATGCTGTGGCGTCTTCGGCTTGATCTGCCGACTGATGATGTTGTTGAAATTCTAGCGTTTATCTTGTAAATTGGTTGGGATTAATGTCTAGCGGAAGTTGTGATTTTGAACGTCTTCTCTCTGTTTTTCAGTTGCAGAGATCTTCGATCTGCGTACCACCGATAATGCCAACTGGCTCGTACATTTTCATTTCATGTTGCAACCATTTACCTCCGGCATTGTGTGGGTGTGCAGGCTTTGAAGTTGCGCACAGCAGGCCATTTTTTAAATGATAACTACTAGATGATTGATTTGTTATACTCGTAGGAGAGCATTTTGTTTTTATTACGAGTTTAAGCATACTATATATGAGTGTTTAACTTAACTAGACTTATGAGCTAATCAGGCCAAAATAAGCTTAAATACTACCATGCTTTGTACATTATTTGTAATATCAAATAAAACTATATATAACGCAAGGAAAGCGCTATGGAAGCATTCATAAAATGTGTAATTTTTCGAACTCTTCGATTTAATGTAAGGGTTACTTTTAAATATCAATAGATTCTAAAAATTAGTAGTATTTTTCACATCGAATCACAATACTATATAAGGCAACTGTTTTTCTCCAGGACTCTGAACTTAACAGACTTATCAGCAATCTGTAAATGAAAATTGTTTAAAAACTTCCAGTTGGCTTCTTTAAGAGTGTTGCCTTGATTATATTTATTTTGGGTCCTTTTTCATATTGTTATTAGATATTGGATGATTTTTGTATAAAAACATTTTTATTTCAGTTTTGAGGCTTTTAAATGTGGTACCTAGGATTCTTTATTTTTATTTATTTATTTTATTTTTATTTAGATTTATTTATTAAAACCGGAGTATTTTATTCTTCACGCGATTCTACAATATCTGCGTTATCATATCCTCTAGCTTCCAAAGAAACGAGCAGATCTTAAATAAATGAACAATTTTGTTGTAGAATATATAAGCTTCGGCCCATCGAATAATACTGCTAATCAGAAACCTTAGTCCTGGCACCTGCTAGTCCTTTACTTATGCTGCAGAGTTCGATATATTACACATTTTATAAGTATCCCTTGAATTACTCCCACAGTTCATGGAGGATTGTTGACTAACTGCCGCCTCCAAGAATGGCTGATATGCTAAAACCTTTGCGTTTCGAGGGCGGCGAGGACTGTTGCTGTTGTTGTTGTTGTTGGTGGTGGTGCTGTGGTTGTTCCTGTTGTTGGTCCGTTGAGGTCTCGCATCCCACATCCAGCTCATCAGCGGTAGAATCATCTGAGTGTTGCAGCAGCTGCGTCTGCTCTGCGGAAATGCTGTGTGGCAGGCCGAGAGCAGGAAGTGCCGGGAAAGCCGCTTGCAAAATAGATGGTGGCCCATACAAATGGGATGGAGATGGTGACTGCGGCAATGTTCCAGCGGCGACAGCATTCGGATAAAGCGTCCCATGCTCATGGGCTGGTCGGCCAAAGTACGTGCAGGCAAAATCGACGAGCGAAGGTCGCAGCAAGGTTTGCATGTGCTGCATAAAGGCGCTGGCATTGTGGCCGCCAGGCGGTGAAGCTGCGGGCCCCATGGGCGGCATTTGCATGCTGCTGTTGCCGTTGCCGCTGCCGCTGCTGACGTTGACGTTGCCATTGGCGCCAGGCTCAGCGCCGTCGAGCGATGATGATAACGAGCATGCGGAGCCATTTGATCTCAGGCGCTTAATTTGCGGACCATCGTTGTCGCTATTGTTGTTGTTGTTGTTGTTATTGTGGGACTCTGGATCGTTGGCGCTTGTCAGCGCAGATTTTGTTGGCGACATATCAAGCGAGCTTGGACTTCTCTGCACTGGCTGACTAGCACCACTCGTCTGTGCTGTTCCCCCCGCCTGCTGAACCTGAACCTGATGCTGCTGATGCTGATGAGGCTGATGATCTTGATCTTCCTGCGTTGGTGATGAAGACATTTTGCGTTTGCAACGCGATTGACCCGTTTCGCGGAAGCCCTTCGCAAATGGATTGTTGTCGATCTTCAGCTTTGTGATGCGATCGTTCTGTTGAAATGAAAGGAAAGCAAAAAACAAAAAACAAAACATTGGATGAACAGATGAGCAAAATTGTTGTAAATTGCGTGAAATATGACGATAGTAGTTTACAGCAGACAGGGAACATAACATTCTTGAGTAAGCGAACATCGGTAGCTGGCGTTAAGTAACAGGGCCACTTGACACCGAGCGCCCTGACTCGAGTGCCTATAGCCGACATGACTTGACAACTTTCTGATGAGGATGAAAATGAGCTGACTATACTCGTAGTACTATGTCGACGATCGCTTCAAGTGATCGGGCTAATTAGAGGCGCTGACGAAGACGTCTGGCGTCACTTGGTGTCAGTCACAGACGCTGTCAGAGACAGTTACAGTTACAGAGACATAGGACCTAGACAAAAACACAGCAAGCGCTCAAATTAACAAGGATGTGGCTATCCAACTTCCTAAAACAACAAGCGGATCGACTGAGCATCAGCCCAGCACCGATCGCCTGACTCTGCGACTGACTTATGTGCGAGTGAGTGCTGGGCCGCTTGAGTTCGGCGCCGCGTCAGTCAAAGGGCGTTGCATGCTAATTCGAGTCTTTGGTCAGCTACCCATGGCGTGAGCGATTGGCTCGAAATTAACTAATTAGTATTGTTTGGGACCAATGCTCAATGAATTGGCAAAAAACTGTGAATGACACTGGAGGAATGAACTTACCTGATACGCTGTCACGGCCACGAACTCTGTCTCGGCAAAGACAAAGGCTTGCTGTGGCGCCCAAGGTATCTGTGCGAGATCAGCGGTGCGTATGACATGCAGACGCGGCTGATATTTGTGCATGCTCGCGAGCACGATCTGTAAAGGGACAATGACAATTATAAGAGAGGGAATAGAGCATATTTAAATAAGAGAGAGAAAGACAGAGCATTGGTCTCCTATCAGCTACATTTCGCCAAAAAAAAAAGAAGAAATAGCTAATCATATCACATTCCTTTGAAGGAACTGAACGCTAATTCAGTAAGAGCAGTCAGTTCCAACTATGTTTGGAGTAAATCTACAAATATAAATCACGAGATGACAAACAAATTGTTTATATAAATAACTTAGTTGATTCTCGAATCGAAAGTCTTGTTACATGCTTTATTAGGAAGCTGTCTGAACTTTCGAACTCGCTGTAAATTAGTTAGCATTCCGACATTTGAAAAAGAAGAGAACTGGTAATAAGGACTTCCAAGATATGGCTTTCCCATAGGATTTGCTTTTGTTTTAGTTATTGAATAGATTAGATATTATTATTAGATATAATATTAAATCTCAATAAACCCGAACACTTTGTACCAAGAACAAGTCCTCCGACTTGATTATATAGCATAAATCGTGAATTGAGATAATATTGTATATTTGTAGACGAGGCTGATTTTATTAAAAGAAGGCAGTTGACAAGTAGATGGGTTCCGACAATACTTATATTCCCATTAGGATTTGCTTTTGTTTTAGTTATTGAATAGATTAGATATTATTATTAGATATACAAGTAATATCAAATCTCAATAAACCCGAAAACTTTGTACCAAGAACAAGTCCTCCGACTTGATTATATAGCATAAATCGTGAATTGAGATGATATTGTATATTTGTAGACTAGGCTGATTTTATTAAAAGAAGGCAGTTGTCAAGTAGATGGGTTCCGACAATACTTATTTGAAGCCATATCAATGAGCTCTTTTTCTCTCCGACATACATTTTTTCAATTAAATCCCTTAATGTATATGAAATCTGGAATATTTTTTGCAAATTCCATCTGCGGGTATTTTCTAATGTCACGAGCTATATACTTACATGCCCACTATTATCCAGAGTATTATTCGTCAGTTTGACTTTATTGAAGAGTATAGGTTGGGCCTGCCAGTGCGCACCTGTCGCAGGACTATCGGGATGTAGGTACATGCGTTGTGGACTCTGCGGTTCGGCGCCACCTGCAGGCACCCATTGTGATCCCGAGAACTTATAGCGACAATCGCCAATGGGTACCATTTCGAGAAGGACGCAGTAGTTAGTCTCCTCCTCAAGGCCTGAAACGCTCAGTCGCATCGAGGGGAACATGCGTCTGCAATAAAAAAATAAACAAATAAAGAAATTTATTCGATAATTTAAAACTGTGCGCAAATATAGCTAACAAAAATTAGGTAGAAGACTTTATAAAAAAATACTGGGAATTGACGAGGTAGGTTTGATGAATATTTGAGTTTGTGAGGAAGTTAAAGAAATACATATTGTTACAAATTTTCAAGATCTAAATATACGTTTGTCAAATAGATATCCAGTTCTAATTTTCAGTTCTAGCTTTGATATTAATGCTAATAATTAGTTCATATTGTGTAATTTTTTTAAGAACATATTTTACAAAGTTTTGCATTTTACAGTTCGTATGTCCTCTATAGAAGGTACAAATAGTTTATACTTTTTAAAATTTCATGAATTTTAAATGATAAACATTATGACTTGGCGTTAATTTTACATTGTTGTTTAAACCATTTGAGTAAAATATTAAAATGCCGAAATAAAGCTACAAAGCAAGCAGTAGGGAATATCTTCGATCTTTAATAATGTTTCCAGGCTCTAAACATAATTTTTTTAAACTTAAGTTTTTTTTATTATAGAATCGATTTATATACAACTACTCCGTTAGAGGTTAGAGAGATGAAAACTAGTGAAACCGACCTCTTAAAAGACGCACACTATATGCATTTATTTAAGTGCCTATGGGTGTGTATTTGCCCAATGCGTGGGCGTTACAAATATTTAATTGTGAGTTTTTTCGTGGGCCATGTAATTAGGCCTAGGCCTAGGGGTAGCGGCGCGGTGAATTGGGCGCACGCAAACAAATAAAGGACGGGCAGGTTCCGATCCGAACCGTGCCGCGACTGTTGCCCCTGACGAGGCCGAGGCCGAGGCTGAGGTCGCGTTTGCGCTGTGCTAACAAGGATGCGTTGCGACGGCGGCTGTTCCTTCGTCCAGTCGTCCAATCGTCCCACCATCTTATTGTCGATGCCAAGACACAGCAGGTGGCCACGGCGCTTGGCGCCAGTCGAAAGCATTTGCTGGTGTGTGTTTGTGCTTGTTTGTATGTTGTTTAGTTTTTAGTTTGTTTTTGGCAATGATTTTTGTATTTTTTTTGTTTTGTTGTTGTTTTTGTGTGCTGCCCAAAACTGCTGCACAATGATTAATTAATTGAAATCTGTGGCGTTTGGTTTGCTCAAATTTAATTTGATTCCTTCTCGGTTCTCTGTTGAATTCCATTAGAGCGCACATTTAAAAATACATACGTAGAAGCACAAAACGCACAAATATTTCGACATTCGTGCGGTTTAGAATTTCATTTTCTGTTTCGGTTTGTTTCTCATTTTTGTTTTTTTCTGTATTTGGCAATCGACAAACTGGACAGCAGCCGTCAGACCAGCATGCGTTCCTTAAACTCGCTCGTGCATTTTTATTTTTTGACAAACGATTTGTTAAGATCAATATCTTTAGCGCGCATGCGCATAATTAGCAGAGATGCTAAAGGAGCGATGTTTGTGAGCATTTCGAATATTTTGACGCGGCGCCATCGCAGGTGTATGTTAAGAGAGGAATATATAGAGGTAGATACTATACATTGAGGAAGGCCAATTTGAGTCGAAGAGTATACTTAGATATTCTTTGAATAATAAACGTTTGAGGTTTTCATAATGCCTTTAAATCTATTTCAGCTATAAACAACCAGCACACATATTGCTCAAAATAGTAGATCACTAATAATTTGTTTGCCAAAAATAAAATTATGTAAAAAGCACAGACTGATCGATAAAACGGATAACTTTTCACTAAACAGTTCTTTGGCCTACACACCCAATACAAATTCTTAAGAGTACAACTCAATCCCAAAAAATATCTATACCAAGAAGAATCTTAGCATTATAGTGATAGCAACTTCACAAAAAAATAAATGGACCGCTTAAATCGTTGCTATACAATCAAAATTTCTTAACTATAGCCATCCACTATAACGATAGCACCACTATAACGTTGCCAAACAAATACGCACTCCTTTTCACTGAGAAAACATATTCATATCCTACCCGACTTTGAATACCATTCAACTAAATAACTTTTGAAAACGAATAAACCATAATTTTGTTTCTAAAAATATTAAACTCTGTTCAACAACCTGAAAAATAACAAAATTTTAGGTATTTGTTAATCTCTTCGTAGAATGTTTTATTTAGTTATTTAGTTAGTTTATTTAGTTTTGTGAACTATACAATCTTTATAAACAATTCTAATAATATTATGTTATAGTAAAATACTGTACACAAATCTATAAAAAACACTATTGATTGGGGTCTTCGATTTTTTTTAGGTCATGAATTACTTTTCTTCTGGATTTCTACAGTTTAATAAAATGTGTATTTATTGTCGAAGAAGGTGACTTGGGGAAAGAACGTCTTAAACGAATAGGTATAGTCTGTAAATTGTAATTTTTCAAATTGCATATTGTAGTTCCTTTAACCTCCAGCTTTTTTTCAATCAATAATATATAAAAGATAAAAAAATATGCAATTTTTAAAATTACTGAGTCTAAATTGGAGTCAAATGCTCAAAGACTAGCCCCATTTAAGATTCTCACGCGAATGAATTTCCAGGGCTTCGGTAGCAATAGCGTTTTATTCATAGTCTTTAAGCCCCCATTTATCATTTCACTTCATCTTTCACAGCGCTCGACAAAGATGCTCCACACTTTCATGTTGCCTCGGATCCACTAAAAGCTTCGTGACAAAGTCATTTCATTTAATTTTCTAAAAACCCATTCATTATGGGCTACGACGCTCTGTTCTAACGCTTTTATCACCGTCTCCACTTTTTACCACCCAGGCAAATGCTAGAAATAGAGGCAGTTAGACGACCGACTAATTAGTTTTTATGAGCGCCACTTGGTGTAGGTATATGCATACACATATGCGGTTGGGCCATGCACTGTGTACGAGTATTAGATGAGCAGGCAGACATACATGAAACGCACGGTGGCACTCTGGCGCCTAATCATTAAAAATTCAAATCGATTGCACACACTCGGACTTGAAGACTAGCTCTGTCCCTGGCTCTGCCTCCGCCTGGGATGGTCGGGTTCACAGAGCTGCGGCAACTGCAGCGCGCAATTCTCATAAAACATTTTTCATGAGCATAAAAACTATTTAATACGCAGACTTTATGAATAATTCATGGCTGGGCATAAAACGCACAAAATGTATCTGTTGGCCCCATTGGAAGTTTCACTCAAAATTTTCGGCGAGCACGGTCCCCCCAAAAAGTTATGTTAATTTCGAATTGAAGTGATCGAAACCAAACCCTTTTGGGTGCTGCTTCTGCTGCATTACTCGTATAGTCTGGTTCTTATCGCCACTTGTGCATCGCAGCCAAGTGTGAAATTGCTCGTATCTGTCGACAAGCTGTGGTCATTGTCAACGCGAACGCAGACGCGCGCGCATGCGCACTTGTATCTGACAGATAGCCAGATACAGACGACAGCAGCGGCAGCGGCAGTGGCAGCAGCAGACAGGCGCCACAATAAAACGCGCAACGTCGAACTAAAAGATGACGACAAAGTATCCTTGACGCAAAGATTTATGCCGCATCAGAGCAGCAGCAGGTCGAATAAAAAAAAAAAGAGAACGCCGAATGCCGAATGTTGAACGCCGACCAAAAGGACGTCCCACTGCGTTTTGGTCCATACTCGTCCATATAATAAATTACGATGACGCCACTTTACGCACATTTGAACAAGTGCCGGGCACTTTTATGCCAGCTAGACATAGTTGTTGTAGTTGCACGTACTAGGTTTATGTCTACACTCGAAAAATTAAGCCCTATTTATTTTTGGAAAAAGGCCAAAAACTTTTTGTTTGAAAAAACTTTGTTCCGAATTAGGAAAAGTCTATCCAGAGCAAAAATATAATATGCATCAGCATTTGTCGTATCTGTTTAGATGGTCGGTTTTTATTACCCCTTCGATTATCTTGAATTTTCGTAAAGCTGCTATTTATGAATTGGTCAGATAGTAGCCTTTACTTTAAAGTTCAAGTTGGCTTCTTGAAGATCCTAATCTATCCTTTTATATAATTTTGGGATATTTTTGAATATGGGAAGTGCAATATGGACTTAATGACAATATGAAAACTTCAAATTCATTCAGTTTACATTTTATAAATAAACATCTCTTGCCATTATTAATATTTAAGCTCTACTGGGTATTCTGGATCAGCAGTGTCATTTAGAACAGTTATGGGTTTCTTTTTCTATGCATAATAAAAGTTTAGTCTGTAAGTTGATGGAAGTAAAAGATAGCTGGAAACTTCAAAGCTTCAGGTGTGTGCAACTCCATTTATACTTGTATTTGCATTATCTTTTTGAATAGGGAATTATACTTAGCTAACATTTTAAGCAACAAAGACCAAGCTCATCTTAATTTAAATATGGAAAGTAATTTACTTTCCTGTGTTCTAAAGGGTGAACAAGATCTGACAAACTTTTTTAGCTAAGGAAAAATGTCTTTCTTTTAGTCAAAAACTAAATTCGGCTAAGCCTTCTTCTTAATCTTCAAAATCTAGCCATTTTTTTCACTAAAGTTTCATTATTGTGGTAAAGTCTTATTGCTAATTCCGCTGATGAAAATTTCTAGAGTGTAACACATAAAATATCTCTAGGCGCTTGCGCTTTGATTTTTCATTAACGCGACAGGGACAGCGGCTGAGGGGACAACGATGCTGACGCTGACGAGGACGAGGACGGCGGCAACTTTGGCACGCAAAGTGCCAGTGAACTTGTTCGTTTTACGCCTTGGTCAATGGTTGCAGTTATCAGAGTCGCACTTGGCCGATTCTCTGGCTCTTGCCGACTGGCTAACGAGTCAGGCTGTACCTGTCGCGCCTTGTGCACAATTTCACATCCTGGCATCGTCGCATCCTTCCGTTCAATTGAGCGTCGTGCATTGCATTTTGTTTGCCTGTGAAAATTGTTGTCGCGACGGCGCTGTAAACAATTTGCAGGCGCCTGGATCTAATGAGCGTTTAACAGCGCCGTCGCCTTCACATTCCGATGACGCCGGACTCGATGCTTTAAGTGCCATAACATGGTATGCCGTTGTTATTGTTGTTGTTGTTTATCTTTGCCTTGCATTTCGGGTATTATTTTTCACAACGTTGTCGGACTTCGTTGTCGACAATGTGCTAATGCATCATTGGTCCTTTCTGTCTGTTTACCAGTTTAATTTCATTTGAAAAGTTTTTTTGGGCGCGAGGCGCGACATCAAAGTCGCTACATCTTATATACTACATATGTATGTATATGTATGTATATACATGTATATATTGGTTGAAGTATTCTTACATACCTGCCACTCTTTGTGATAATCATTTCCGTGCCAATTTGATGAAATTGCTTCCAGAGCTCATCGTTTTGCAGCGTCATCTCTACGCCAGGCAGCGTGACACGCGGCGGCATAATCACGTGGCGCGGCATCGCTATGGGTAGCATAGGTGGAAAGGGATCTGTAAAAGGGTCGAAATATTTTATCTTTATTAACTTATTGATGAATTAATAAAATGTGTAATCAATAAAGGCAGTTGAAGAACCTGTTTTGCAATAAACAAAATCTGATGCTCTGCAGTAAATAAAATATATTATTAAGATTATATATAAACGAATTTCAGATATCTTTTAAGTAAATGCGCATAAAAGCGATTTTTTTTTTATATATAAATACAATTTTTTTTAACCAACCTGACTGTTTAAACATTATGTTTGGGATACTTATCAGACTGTTGAAAAGAAATAACTAGAACTTGCAAAAACAGAAACGTAAAAAAAATATAAAAAAAATAACACTTGAGTGATATTATAAATGTTTTGAGGCCCAATAATTCCAGTGAGTGCAATTCTATTTGCTATTTTTTCTATTCTGGCTCAGTATTGAAAAAATAGAGAATACTTTAAATTCGTTGTTTACCATATAACTTGATATTTGTTTCCTTGTCTGAATGGCACTTCACTTGTTGATGTTCTTTGATGAGTGCGGTAATTAAGACAAGTGAACAAATGTAAGACATGTTTATGTTAAAGTTCTAATCACAATCGTGAATTGCATGAGAGTCCTCTCGATATAGTAGAAACAATTTATGAAAAAGGAGAAATGATAGACTACATGTTATAGGTAGTGCTACATAGATGATAAGCATGACGAGGCGAATCCAAATTCGTCCGCCTGTTTTTTTCATTTACCTCTCCTTTAAACTTTGCACTGAGCAATCATTTATACGAGCACAGACATACAATGTCAAATGCGATATAATTTTAACTTATGCTGTCACTAGAACGATATGTGTTGAACAGAGTTTTTATATTTTAAAAACTTTTTATTTACAATAATAGTGGAATCAAATTGCATGTTGAGAATGTTAATCATAGAATGCTAAATGAGAAAATACTTTCTAATACAAAATTAGTTATTATTATTATTATTATGTAGGTGTACAATTTGTATTCCAAGGCACAGTGGAGGTAGACAAAGATAACTTTTTAGCTCGTTGGTTTTATTATTTATTTCGGGTTTTGTTGCCTACTAAAACCTACCCTACATCGACCTACGAAAAATCAATGCATCGCCTTTGTTTTAAGCAGACACATTTTGCTTAATGTGCTCGCAAAAACAGTTCTCGTGTTCGCCTTAGTATTAACAGCCCCCCCGCTAACTGCGCAAAATCAACGATCGGTTTCTCACATTACTCAGCTTTATGACTGCACATAAACAAGGCATCGCCGACGTGCTGCACACTGCATATACTATACTATCAGGTTCTCGGGAATAAAGCGCAGCATTTGCTGCGTCAAATGATGGGGCCATTAATGCTAATGATGCTTAACAGCTTTTTTTGTTGCATTTAATGGCCAGGAATGGATGTGCGATTGATTGGCAATGCGGCGTATGAGTGATCTGTCTGTAAAGTAAGCTGTTTGCGAGGGGCGCTGGGGCAGAGTGGGGGTGCAAGCTTACCTGGTATGCGCTGCATGATCTGTTGGCGATAAATCTCATGCGCAATGTGCTGCTGCATACGCAAATCCACCAGCTCGTTCATGGTTATCATCTTGCTTGTTCAACGTTCAACGCCTTGCAATATTTCACACTTTGTTTAGGCTTGTATTTAAAACTGTTTAGAGTTGAATTTTTGTCGCACAAGCACAAGCACACACACACACATTCACACACACAGGAAGAAACACACGGACAGATACAGATAGACACATACGAGTACGTTCGCTAGCAAATAAACACTGCGAATGTGCGATTGATATTCATTTAGCGTTAATTATGCAAATCACAGCCTGCTGTGGAGTCGCGTCAAAGCATACATTAGTGATTTCTTCATGGGTATGCGTGGGTGTTAATTTAATTATTAACAAAGTAACAGGTAACTGGTAATAGACTCGTGGTATTTTTTCGTTCTTTTGCCAGCCGTATGGTTATTTGTGGGCCCGCCGCTTGTGTCTTGCGCTCGCAAAGTTCGCATATCAACTGAACAAGTTTCGAAAATGTCGCCGTTGTTGCTTACAAAGAAAAAAAAAGAAAGATGAACCGCCGCCGTTGCCATCGACGCCACCAACAACAGCACCACCGCTGTCGCCGCCACCGCCACCACCGCCGCCGCTTCAAACGAGCTTGACGAGTTCAAGCCATTGATCGACATTACCTGCACGATGTTCAAACGATCCGTTGCGATCTTTTGCAGGTTTTCTTGCCACTCTGCGCCCCCATTGGTTGATTATCTCCAGAGCTCGCTCTCTCGCTCTGGCACTCTCTCTCCGTTTGCATGCACGCATGCGCGTTCTCTCTGTCGTCGCTTGTGCTGCTGTTGGCACCTCCATTTTGAAAATCACACCAGCCAGAACTGTCTGCGCTTTTCACACCGTCATCGTCTAGTGATCGTAGCTCCGCCTTAGTCGTCTTCGCCATCTCGCCGTCCCGCTCGGGACGCTCGCATTTAATTGTCTTTAATTTTGAAGTGCGAAGTTGCACAGTCAGCAAAAGCAGCAGCAGCAACAGTAACAGTAACAGCAGCAGCAGCTGATGAAACGGCAGGGGAGGAAGCTACGGCAGCATGTTGCACAGCACTTATGCTCATGTGTGAGTGTGTGTGCGTGTGTGTGTGTGTGTGTGTGTGCGTTTGTGCGTGTGTCTTGCCTTTTAATTATACATCATGATCAAAATTGTTATTTATTTTTTTATTTGGCATCTTCGGTTGTTGTTCCTGTTGTTGCTGTTGCCCATTTGTAGAATGAACCGTCAGCATCATGGTGGTCCTCTTGTCTTCTTCTCAAGTTGTTGCTGTTAGTGCTGCCGTTTTGCTGTTCATTTACTTTAGTTTTCAGTTTTTGACGCTGCGTCATTCAGGCGTTGATATGGCGGCCAACTTGGCATTGCCTCGATTTGGGCTCTCAGATGCAGGTGGTAGATACATGATGTACCCCAGCTCTTTGTTCTGGCCTTTTAGAGCTTGACAAAACATTTGTTAAACTGCGGAAACGCATGTCGTTTACAAATTTGTATGGCCAGCAGCAACACGTCTAATTAGAATACAAGCATTAAAGGAAAATACCAAATTTATGGCGGCATATGAGTTATGTATTTAAAAATAAATAAATAATTGGTAAAGAGCGTTATTAATCGCAAGCAGTGAAGTCATTTGACGAATTTAACATAAACCTCTTTCATTGAAGATTACTTGTTATTTGAATTTCCGCCATAAATAAAAGAATTGTTTTTTTTTTGTTACGCGTTCACTTCTTACTTTATAACCCAATTAATATTCTACAATAATATACAATATGCATTTCACTTCAGATTTTTTAGAAATCGTCAAAAGGTTAATAATTATATAAAATTATATGTTATTATATGTTAAGATCTTAAAAAGCTTTGTGAAAGTGTTTTAAAATTAAAGCACGCTTAGGAGCAAAATCTCACTGGTTTTATTCTACATCTACTTTTGTAGTTTGAAAATTAAAAAATTGCAGATATATTTCTTTAGAGATACAGAACCAATTACCGATTTTTGCATATGATAATATATAATATATTATATATGTCGGTTGTTTCTGGAACCAATCTACCGTGTAAAAACAGAATTAGGTGTATTTATTAGTATTATATCATATAGTATATCATCAATAGAATAAAAACAAATTTGAGAAACAAATAGGGTACGGTATAGATGGCAAGAATTAAAACTGTAGCCCGCTTTAGTTTAAGATTGTTATTTTAAACAACCCGCCTTCATTAAGCTAAGCATGTTTATGGCCTTGAAATCAACATCTTTTAGGTAGTTTAGAAATTTGCGGACTACTGAAAATTTATTTAGTTTGGGTTGTTTGCCTTTGTCTAATTTATACGATAATTAGAAATAGTTTGCAATTGTGTCAAAGGTTGAATAAAGAACATGCGTTTGTCTACCAACATAATTATTTTCAATTGCTCTTTAGTTCGAACTTTAACCCGTTAAGCATACGCAGTGTGTGCTCCAAAGTTCGCTTACTGATCGCTTTCGTTTTCGTTGTGTTCGTTTGTGGCAAAACGTGATTTACACAACTATTAAGTCTCGTGTATCTTTTGCATACCAGCACAATCGCAATCGCAAACAATAACAAAAAAATGCAGGTAAACATGTCTACTTCCGCTAGGCAGGCTGAGGTAATTAAACAAAAGTAGATTAGACTCTGCTGCTCTATCTATCTTGTGTAAACTCTCCGGGTAAGCGTTTGCATTACTGCGAAATTTTTAATGCCCAAGTAAATAATTTACACAGCACTTGTGCCTGCCTGTCTGTCCAACTAAATGACAGAGCCTAGCGCATTAGAATGCTGTTAATGTTGGCTGATAAACAACAAAATTAAATTACCATTAACTCTTGGCATTTTGCCTTAAACTACGACATACATGCATATGTATATTATGCGAATTTTTGGGTCTGGCATGGTAATTATTTATGCGCTATTCATTTTCACATTTGGTCGCGCACATTTCCGTTTTCCACGTTCAATTGAATATCCATTTGGCATGTGAGTGAAGCAAACAATTGACCTGAGGGCCTGAAAGGACGGTGCGGCACCATAGCTGCGCAATTTGTCAGCACCAAGCTAATAGCTCTGCCTCTTTCTCTAACTGATGCTCCCGTGCCTGCTGTTTGACTAATGCCTTTCGGTTTACTTCCGTTTTTCCATATGCCCAACAGGTAGCTATTTCCTAATTGCGTTTTATTTACCTCCTGTAATGAGTTTTTGCGATGTCTGCGCAGGCGTCGCATTCCTGAATGTTGAACCAGCATGGCATCAGAGGCATTAGGGATAAAAGGAAGGAAGGAAGGAAGCATGCGCACTACTTACATACCCTAAACATCAATGTAATTGATAAATGAAGATAGTAATGGCTTAGTCATAGGTAGAGTGAAATAATGACAGCAATGTTTCCTTCAAGAATTCCACATAGCGATGTCTGCCTGTTTGTTGCAATCACTACGCCTTTTATTATTTTAGCAATCAAGCTACATTTTGCTTTTAGGTTTCGTTGAATTTTGTTGAAAAACCACATTCTTTCTATCTTAAATTATCTTCTTATATATTGGTTATGATTTGTATATTATTATTAAGAAACTTGTAAGGCTTGATGAGATTGTTGAAAAGACTACTAGAAGCAGACTAAAAAGCAATCCCTTCATTAATGCTGAACAGATTCTAATACAATGGCACCTTCGATTCCACGAACTAGTAAAATAATACAATTATTTGTAAATTGTCTTCAAATAAACTCTTTTATATTCGGCAGTTAATGATTGTCCACGATGGACAGTTTTAAATAAAAACACTCTGCTAATACAACAAATATTCGGCTTCCAAAAAAAACTTGCAAATATATAGCAATTGTTTAGCGTCAACAACAACGTTTTAAATAAGTCACATGCCAACAAAGCAGTCGACAACTATTTGTAGTATTAATATAATTTGTTTTTGATACCTTTAAGCCGCCATTATTAATTTAAAATAAATTAACGTAAATTTCCACTTAAATTTCTATCTTTGTGGTGATAAGTTATCCCATTCTCAATCGATTCAACTAAGGCTTTGTGTCACATTTCATTGCCAATTTTTGTACAAACATAGGCGCTATTATCTTTTCATGCTGTGCCATCAATGCCATGTATTGCTAAAATTAACAATGTGGGTGCCTTACCCTAAGATTTTCTCGCATGGTCGCTCAAATTAAAATTAACATAAATAACATGGTAAAAATAAACGAATGTAATTTTCCATGGAAAATATTGTACAATTTTGTTTTCTGCTCAAGTGAAATGAGCAATTTTTTTTTATTACTATTTTTTTTATTGATTTAAACTTTTAGCTCTGTGCTTCTGTCTATTTGTGTTTGTGTGTTTGAACAAGGCCTATAGCGCCCCCATAGACATTGGACTGCAGACTATTAACGGCTCATACTTGACGTTCATTGTTACAACACGACGTGATCGACGTGGTCGACTCTGTGTGGCATGCAAATCTACTTTTGTATGCAAATTAAGTGACTCAATCAACAAGCGGGCAAAAAACAGCTAAATCATAGCCACAGTAGCGACAGCCTCGCTATCCAAAAATATACACACACATATTGTACACTTATGAGCGGCAGCAGCCGGCAGGTAGTATGATGAGGTACGACTCATGTGAATCCGTACACAAGTCTCTGAATGTTGGAGTACACTGAAAGAAAACTTCACATTCAATAAAGTGGTAAGGCATGTGAAGAAAGTGAAGAAAATACGACTTAGGATTCCAAAATTCGGAAATTAAAAATGATTAAAGACGAATCATATGAAAGGTTAAAGTGCTTATTAAGAAGTCGGATTGTGGTATGCCACAGGCAGATAGAGGTATTTTAGAGACATACATAAATTAAAGAGCATCTAAATATTCATGCGTCCGCATCTGTCACCAAATTTGGCATAGAGACTTATCTTATCCATAGCTGGATACTATAATCAGTGGACTATATCATATAGATTCTATGAAAACAATTGGTAGCATAAGATTTATTTAAGAAAGG